TAAAGTCTAGCATAGACTAGCTATTTGATTTTGACTTGTACTCACGCTATTCCTCGGATGGAACATGTTGTATTTGGATTGTATTCGTTTTGATCTAGTTTGGTGTATTGAGACTTCGTACTTCGATTTCTATTAATGTAAATTATAAGCTTGAATTGGGAATGTTATTTATGGTTCATGAATGTGTGTACGTGACTCGATTGAGATAGTGAGTGAGTCCTGGCGAGAGCTGGGCAGGCGGTCCGTCGAACCCTTTGGTACGCCTTAGGGGGAGGTGGGGTCGTCACAGATGGTATCAGAGCTCCTATCGAGCTCGTGCCGGGAGAAGGTTCTTGGACTGTGGGGATTGACTTGTTAAGTGTGGAACAATTGTCTATTGTTGGGGACCTTAGATATGTATGCTGGGTAGGAATCTCTAATATGGGTAATTTACTCTTGGGACCGGCCGGCTCGAGTTGTGAATTACCTTATTGTGGATTCTTGTACCTGAACACCCAGGAGTGTTTTCATGGACGAATCGAGTAATAGTTTGGCTAGGGTTCCTATAGAGGATGATTAGGTTGTAGTATATGTCGAGAAAGTCTCGCCAAAGACCGATTTCTTTCTTCTTCCCTTGGTTATGCTTCCTTGATGTCATTTTAAGATATTGCCCCGATTATGTTCTACCCTCCCGTCCGTCTCATTCGATTTTTCAACCAACCGGTATATGGTTAGATTATTACTTGTGTTTAGTTACTTACCCTGATCTGTTGATCTGCCTGACAGGCTATCACTTGAGTTCCAGTGAATCTGTGAGATGGCACAATTGGATGATATATATAAGGAAAATACCCTATGTTATTCGAAGTGCATGTATGAATTTCGAGGACGAAATTCTTTTAAGGAGGGGAGATTGTAACATCCCGAATATTACGAGGTTGTTTGTGAAGAAAATATTAAAGTGTATTTCTTTGGGTTGATTTAAAACCTTATTTTGGTTTAAAAAGACTAGAAACCCTAATATTGTAGCCAAAAACCCTAGTTTACTTGTGACTAACCGGTTTTCCTAAATCTCTCATATTTTAATTGAAACCCTAATTTTAATTACTGGAATTGGAAAATTTCTCACGTTTTCTTAAAAATTTCTTTTTATTTGAAGATTATCATTTATTAAAGCCCCTATCCAATTATTCCATGATAAGTGTAAATAAACCTAGAAAATAAGGTTTTACGCTTTGGTTTCAAGTTTGGAGCAAAATTAGGGTTTTCGCGATTTTTCGCCGGATGAATTTTCGGTACAGAGTAAGGATTAAATTTGGAGATTAAAAGTGACTTTTGAGTGAGAAATAATATGTGATTAGTAGCAATGGTATAAATTTAGTGAATGGGAAGTAAAAACCCTAGTACGTGAGTTTTAAGAAAAACGGCGCCAACCGGCGGGTCCCGCGCACTACCGTTTGAACGCACCACTTGACCACCACTTTCTTACTGTATAAGCTCATTGATAATTGAGCAAAATATCTTCTTATATTACAGCTAAGGGGACCGAAATTTGTGGCTTATAAGCAAGGGAAAGAAAGAGAAAAATGAGTGGCCAAGATTAGGCCAAGTGTTGGGCAATTTGTGGACATCATTAGTTCTAATCTTTTGGCTTTATTATAAGATAAACTTAGCCTCATTTCTCTTCATATTTCTGCCTAAGAGCCGAGAGGGAGAGGGAAGAAAACACCAAGGGAAATTTCTTCATTTCATCTTCAAATCCAACAATTTAGTGAGAAAATAAACAAAGTAAACCGATTAAACTTGTTCCTAAGTGACTAGGTGGTGATTTGTGGTAAGCTTTGGAAGGAGGAAGCTTGGGCTACTCTTTGTGATCTCTATTCAAGGTAAGAGAGTTTATCTCTCCAAGTTTTACTTCTAATCTTGTTAAATTAAGCCTAGTAACTTGATTTTATGGTGAGATTATGGATGATGAGCATGTTTTAGTAGTTTTCCCCAATTTATTTGATGCACTAGGGCTTATGGAAATTCTGCCCAAATGGTTGTATGATGTTTATATGTTGCAATTGAGGTGTGATATGGTGTTTTGGTAGTGATTGGATCAAGAAATTAAGGAAAGATTCACTAGAAACTCAAAATTTCCAAAATCTGGAATATGGTCCCAACATTCTGTCCGAATTTTTATCTATATGTTAGAGGCTGTTTTGGCCTTAGGTTAAAGAATAAAAGTTGTAGAGAATGGTATTTTATAGGTTCCTACAAAATTTCAACTCAATCGGAGCAACGCAGAACGTGAAAAGTCCAAAATACCCCTACTGTTTTAAGAATTTCCCAGCAGTCCGTTTCTTCAGTTCAGTCCAGTTTATCACGATTTTTGACCAGGATCCATTCTGATTTAGCTCTGGGCCGAAACATGAAAGTTGTAGTGTTCTGAAGTAGCTTTAAAATGCCTCAAAGAAAACCTGATTCGGACTTGTGTACACTGAGTTAGGTCCGCTACAGCATAATACGTTTAAACAGCCGATGAATTGGTTTCTGGTTTAGTAATTGGCGAATTTGACCAAGTTACATTAGAAACTGGACTTAGTGATATTCATGAACATTGTAGCCCTGAGTCTTAGCTTCGAAACGCCATAGGTTTCGTCTTAATCCGATAAGCGTAGCCTCAGATAAGTTATTTCCGCTTTTATACGTCAAATCTGTCTTTTGGCTATATGGAATTTCTGCACTTGCTATTGATGTGAATCTTACTATTATGATATTGTGAGCCTATGGAATGGCTCTTGACATAAATTGCTGATATGTATGATGTTGGGTGGTGTTGAAGAAAAATAATGAAGCCTAAATGGCTGGAAAATTAGGTAAACACAAAGGGCATGCTGCCCAAATTTACGCTCGAAGACTAGAGAACTACTTGCAACTCGAGTATGGGTTAAGAGTGATTACTGCTTGAACCATCTAGGGTACTTGAGTCTGCGTGTTCCGAGGTATATAAGTAAGGACTTGGCCGAACTTGTACCCTTGAGAAATGAAATAATGATTGCTCAAAGTACGTTTTCCCTTGTACTTTCGACTCGCATGACCATTTCAAGTATAAATGTTAAAAAGTTTTATCATTTAAAAAGTGAGCGAGTATCTCACGAGTATTCTCCAAGTGAATTTCAATTTCTTGATTCTTATTGAACGAAACGTCTAAGTTTCGAACTCTAGTCATGTTTCAAAGTTCTCAAATTGAGTTTTATCGCAGATTTGGACTCCGAACTCGGAGTATAACCTGAAAGTGACCAGTAGCACTATATCTTTTGGGTGAGTGCTTTCAAATACCGAATTGAACTTGATACTTGAACTTGATACGTGACCAATCTGATTACATGTTATATACGTGAATTGTAAGGGCAAGAGTGTACTTTATCGCACTTGCCCTTACGTGATATACTTGTTTATTGTTGCAATTGACTTGATATCCTTGTTTATGATGCGCGCACTTCCTGGAATTCCAGAAACCCTGTGGCGAGTTACTCTAGTCGAGCCGGCAAGGGCTTGGTCGATTGGATAACGAACCCTGGGTCTCTTGTATTGTCGAGTGGAGTGATATCTCCTCGACTAATCGGTATACTCGAGTATTACCACCCGTGTTCTTGAGGATTTTGGGCCCAGGTGGGGGTTGAACGGTGGACGGAGAGTCGTTTAAGTGGTGTTCTACTGGATTGGTTACTTACTTGAAAGTTGACGGAGTGTCAACTACTACGGAATCAAGCTTCTGGTAATGTAATGGGAATTTGGCTCCTGAGAGTCATCCGTATCCTTATACTTTGGAGTAATTATTGTTTATTGGATTATTGTTTCTTTTGAAAAATTTTCTACATTCGCTCATTTTAAGATTGCTACTTGACGTGTTACTGTTCACATTTATGAACACTTTATGCTCGTTACTTTGCTATATCGAAAACTCGTACTTATAAATAATGGTCAATTTGCTATTTGGAACCTCACTGGGCTTTTAGCTCATTCCACTCCATTTGTTTTCCTTTCAGGGGTACGAGCGAGGTGTGAGATATGTAAAGTCTAGCATAGACTAGCTGTTTGATTTTGACTTGTACTCACGCTATTCCTCGGATGGAACATGTTGTATTTGGATTGTATTCGTTTTGATCTAGTTTGGTGTATTGAGACTTCGTACTTCGATTTCTATTAATGTAAATTATAAGCTTGAATTGGGAATGTTATTTATGGTTCATGAATGTGTGTACGTGACTCGATTGAGATAGTGAGTGAGTCCTGGCGAGAGCTGGGCAGGCGGTCCGTCGAACCCTTAGAAGACAGGTAATCATGTAAATTTCTTTCCCTTGCATTTCAACTTGCTTTTCTTGTTTTGCTTCATTTTATGTATTGCTTCCGCTTCTTCTTCCTCGAGCTTTTCTTTCCCTCTATTTCGTTGTGCGTCTTTCTTCATTCACTATTATTGGTGTTTTCTACTGTCTGCTATTACATCTATTGTAAGTGATGCTCTATTTTCCCTCCCCCTGTTCTTGTAATAGTCTTTATATTTTTTCCCCTTCCATTATTTTGTTTTTGATATTCTTCTACTTCCCATGCTTACTGTTTTTTTTTACCTGTCACTATTATTAATATTCCTTTTGCATTTTTTTTGTTTTATGATTCTCTTTGTTCTATCATTTTTCATTCTCATTGCATTGTTGTCTCTTATTGTTTGAAGTTCGATTTTTCACTTTCCTTTTGCCCAATTTTTTTGTTGCCTCTGTTTTTTTTTTCAGCTTTCCTGCTGAAACATTGCTTTTGCTTTTGTTATAGACTCTTTTCTCCTGTTTTTTCTCCCGCGCTTGTATGCTTCGTATGCTTTCTTGGTCATATTCATTTATTTACTGCTATTGTTTCTACGCTTTGCAGTTTAGTGGCATTTATTGCTATTCTTTATTTTTTGTATTTATTCCCATCTGACAATGACATTTCCCTATTATCCATTTTTGCATGGCCCTCTTAATTTCCTCCAAGTTTTGCTGACTACGAGCTGCTGCTTATTTTTCTTGCTGCGGCAAAAGGTACTTGCTTTTTTTTATTGGAATTGAAGCATTATCTTTAATAGTTCATTCATCTTTGTTCTTCTTCTTTGATCAAACGCTTATTAGCTACTTTTTTTCTCCATTTTTCGTATATTATTCTAAAAAGTTTGTTTTCTCATGCTTAAACACTTAAAAAAATTACCATATTTCTTGTTTTATTTTTCACCTTCGTACACTTAACTTTTTTGTGTATGAAATACAAAACAAAGAATGCTGTGCCAGAAAGTAGCATCAGCAATGAAACCGAATTTCATTCAAGACATCTCTGATGGGCTATCATTCTATGACATCTTCACTCAGCAAAACCAGCATAATTTTGTGAGCTCTGGCTATATCCTGTTTTATTTTATCATTCATTATTTTCTTTCCCACTAATAATTTTTTTTTTTGTCGATGAACAACAGAAAGTGCCCAAGTTTGTATCCTTCTTCATGCATGGTGACAAAACTCCTCTGATCACCCTGAGAACTAGAAACAAGACAGTCACTCTTGGAATGCGTCAGAGATAGTTCACAAATAATTGGAACACATTTAAGTTTGAGCATCAACTACAATTTGACGACGCTTTAGTATTTATCCCTAAATCAAAGTCCTGCTATACTGTCCTAATCTTCAACAAACATGGAGTCGAAAAACTATTCCCTTGGTACAATAAGTTCTACATCTTCTCTGATGCACCAACCGGTAGAACTTAGACCTTTCTTTTAAATTTATTCTGCAAGAAACGTTGTTCTTCTTATATGTTCAATAAACATATGAATGCCAGCTTTTATTGTCCATTCTTTTTCCATATCAATTTAACTTAGCAATTTATCGACAACATGCTGCAGAATTATTTTCAACCATTCAGGACCGTGCTTGATTTTTTGTAAAAAGCTTTGAATAAATCTACAACTTCAACTTTCAACGCTTCATTATTCTCATATAATATGCAATTTTACGAGGCTTCTTGAAAAAACCAAAATAACATCTTATCTTTAAACTTATGCCTTTTATTAAGAACGGTATACTTAATATGACTGTGATACAATTCAAATATATTGTAGCATAAACCAAGAAAGCTATCAAACAGAAAAATGCATTAATAAAAAAATTAAGTTAAGCTGTTCCAATAGATGCTCATAATTACATGACACACACCAAAACATGAAATACATTAAAATCAACAAGTGTGTGTATAAAAAGTCCTTCCATACATGTTGACCAAATTGGTAACTAATAGAGCGATTATTCGGCACATTTTGCACTGTTATTTTGTCATAATTTTGGCTATTCACGGTACTAAGAATTGGAATTTCACTCATATTCGATATTTGTGTGAATTGTAGGTGGTAGGCATGAAAAATGATCTCGCGGGGTAAATTTCCAGAAGATTTTTCGTCTCAGGGCGTGGCCACGTCTTAGAAGGTGGACGAAACCGAAAGCCGGACTGCGGTCCACGTGAACCGCGAGAAACATGGGATAAAAACTCCAAAAGGCCAGACGTCTGGAGAGCTCCTGCGGCGGCTATAAAGAAAGGAAAAAGCAAGATTCAAAGCATCACTACTTTTAGCCTTAGTTTTACCTTTTTGCAAGATTGGTCAGACGCTTTTGTTTTTCTTTTGTTTTCTTCTGCGGCTTTGGGTCAGACATTGGAGACTTTCTCCTTTTCTGTAGCTTTTGCTTTTATGCGACTCTGACTCCCGAATTCGCTCTTTTCGCCTTTGACAATTCTCCGTTGGCTTTTGCTTTGTAATTGTGGCTCCAATACAAGACAGAGCCAGGTTTTTCATTGATTGTTTCTTCGATTAATTCATCCTCCCCAATTTCTGGGCAATTGATTCTTGGGAAATTAATTGAATGAATTCAATTAAATCACGCGGGATTGACACGATGAGGAGCGGCTAATTTTCTCCTCTACCCAAAGGTCGACGCGAGGGCGCGGTCCATAATATCTGTGAGATCTAACCGAATCTTCATTATTTCCTCCAATTAATTGCTATTCGTGCGTTTCCTGAATTAATTGTTCATGGGTATTTTATTAATTGAATATCAACGGCCGGGTATTTGATTTAATTTAATAGCCTACTCCACGTTAATTAAATAGAATCCGTAATTGTTCATTTAGTTAACACCCCGTGGCAACCACCATAATTGGCTTTATGATGGGGAAACGCAAGATCTAGCTTAAATAAACCATCTTAGCGTGTTTATTGGTTAGGGTTGGGTTCTTCTAGCTCTAATGCAATTGGATAATTAAATTCCTACGGTCGTACCTAGGGTTGTTATCTGGTTAGGGGAGCAGTTAATGGTCGTACCTTGACTGTCGAAAAGGTAAGGAAGAATTGGTTATCAGAGCTTGTTGATAATTATAACCAACCTAGTGACAAATGGATGAAATATCTTTGCATCGATGATCAGTTGAATGGACCGTATCTGAAAAGTTGTACCTTTGGTTAGAGTCGTATTGGTTATTGATTATTTTCTATTTATTTCTATTAGTTGCTTTATTAGTTAGTTAATTAGTTATTTCATATTCTCCAGAAACCCCCCATACTTCGGACTCTAAAAGAAATAAGTTATCCCCAATCCCTGTGGATTCGACCCTACTCACCGCTATATACAAAATCTGTATTTTTCTCGAGTAGGTATTTATTATTGCACAGGTTCGGCTCCTGTCAGTAACTGATAGTGTGAGGAGTTGAACCTATGTAACTTCGTGACTTTGAAACGTGACCTTTATTACTGTGACATCATATCCAAATTCAAAAAAGTTTTCACCTGAGAAAGCCAAATAATATGTAGATATATGAATTGTAATAAATGTTCTTTAATTCTATTAATTACACCAAATTATTTTGCCTACAAATGTTCTCCATATCGTTAGTTTATAATTGCAATCCGCTGGTTACCAAATCTCATTGTGGGCATTACATAAATTCTTCACCGTGCGCAAGCACGGTATATTTCTGCTAGTAATGCTTAATGGTTGAAATAGTTATCGCCAGCGAGTGTGAGGTTCATGGTCCTCTGTCCTCTGACTTCAGCATGGACGCGAGATTCGGCTGCAGTTGCAGCGGGGGAACTTCAACATTTAGGTTTGCGATGAGAGAAGAACGAAGGGAAAATACCGGTTTTCATCCCCAAACTTTGGGCACATGACACATTTCGTCCCTCATCTTTTGGGCATGACATATTTGGTGTCTGAATTAACAATTTTTGACCAAATGTCATCCTCAGACGGCAATTTAACCAACCTTTAACGGACCGTTAAGTAAATGTGGCTAACCGAAGCAAAATCAGGTGGAAAATGACGTTGTCTTCACTTCCTCTGCAAATTTCCAAGACTAAGCTCCTACTGCAAATTTCTCCAGAGTAAACCCCCTCTTCCAATTATAAATATATAATTATAATTATATAATACATATAAATATTACTTAAACTAATATTTTATATAATTATAATGTATATTAGATATTAAATTTAATTATTATATAACCTTATATTCATAATAATAAATATAATTATAATTATATAATTTATTGATATTATATACACATATATATTATAAGGGATAATTTCATAAACCTCCCCTAAATTAGCTTATGGAAAAATGGGAAAATGAATAATTTATGGAGAAAATCCATAAAGTGCTGGTGTTTTATTGGCGAACTGGTTTATTTTTATTTTATCCGATAAATAAATTTGTTTATGAAAAAATGGGTACTCTGTTCTTATAATAGAGGAAAGCCATAAAGAGCTGAAGTTTTATTGGAAAACGAGTTTATTTTATTTTATTCGATAAATAAATTTATTTATGAAAAAATGGGTACTCTGTTCTTATAATGGAGAAAAGCCCTAAAGAGCTAGTTTTTTATGGGAAAGCGATACTTTACAAAAAGTGACCGCGACTCTGACTATAATATTAGTATAATTATATAATGCATTATATAAATATATATATAATAATTATTTAATTAAATAAACAAATTCATTCTAATTTTTTTTATAAAGTATCACTTTTCTATAAAAGACTAGCTCTTTAGGATTTTCCTCCATTATAAGAACAGAGTACCCATTTTTCCATAAATATATTTATTTATCGAATAAAATAAAAATAAACTCGTTTTCCAATAAAACTTCAGCTCTTTATGGCTTTCCTCTATTATAAGAATAGGGTATCTATTTTTTCATAAACAAATTTATTTATCGGATAAAATAAAAATAAACCAGTTCTCCAATAAAACACCAGCTCGTTATGGCTTTTCTCCATAAATTATCCATTTTCCCATTTTTCCATAAGCTAATTTAGGGGAGGTTTCTGAAATTATCCCTTATAATATATATGTGTATATAATATTAATAAATTAGATAATTATAATTATATTTATTATTATGAATATAAGTTTATATAATGATTAGATTTAATATCTAATATACATTATAATTATATAAAATATTAGTATAAGTAATATTTATATGTATTATATATTTATAATTGGAAGAGGGGGTTTACTCTCAGAGAAATTTGCAGTAGGAGCTTAGTCTTGGAAATTTGCAGAGGAAGTTGTTGAAGTGAAAGAAAAAGGGAAAGTGAAGATAACGTCATTTTTCACCTGATTTTGCTTCAGATAGCCACATTTACTTAAAGGTTGGCTAAATTGCCGTCTGAGGATGACATTTGGTAAAAAATTGTTAATTCAGACACCAAATGTGTCATGCCCGAAAGATGAGGGACGAAATGTGTCTTGTGCCCAAAATTTGGGGATGAAAACCGGTATTTTTCCGAAGAAGGAAGGTCCCGACAAAAATGATTACCGAATGCCGCAGATGATCTCTCATGTGACGTATTTTTCCCTCCCGACCGGTTAACGGACCCGCCTTCGTCCTTTATTCTACAGTAAGCATTGCGATTGTACCATTTATGCCTTAAAAGTTGAATCCTTACCATTTCCACACACCAAAAAAAAAAAAAAAAAAGGAAGTTGAATCCTTACATCTCCTCAATATTCCTAAATTTTGCACGTGGTATACGGGTGTGCTACAAGATTTTCAAGTGCGTGCAACGATTAGGCTAAGAAAAGCCTAATGTTGCATTATATGCAGAAAGATTCGTGATTAAAGAATTTACACACCAAAAGAAAAAAGGAATGTATCGCTTCGATATTCAGTTCCATGGTTCGTAGAATTAAGGATAATTATTGCTAAGTAGCTCGCTAATGTGTTATTAGTATGATTCCGAACACTCAAATCTAAATTCCACCAACAGTTCTGTATATCAGGAACGGAATAGAGTACATTCCATCAACAGCTTGTGAACTAGCAAGTGCCCAGAGATATTTTAACGACAAATTAGCCCATGAGATTTATCAGGTAAGGGATGCAGAAAAGAAAACACTCCTATAAGAGAATAAAGAGGGACACCTCATTGACAAAAAGACAACCCTCATCTCATCCTTTTCACCCTACTATGTAAGAACATTGCGTGGTGGTGTCCCTCATTTCAACCTCCAATTATATGTTACCATGATGACATTCTTACATCGCATTTGTCAAACATCACATATGTATTGGGCAGAAGTCACAACCTATACACATTTTCACACTGGCGACAAACTTCAATATGCAACTCCAATGGGGTCAATTTAGATGGCTTTGCTAATTTCTGTTTTCTTTGTTGATCATCAATAGATCGTTTTGCTGATTAATATATAATGTTCGACCTAATATCGGAAGTTTTGTTCCATCGAATCAACGTACTCGCCA